CTTGTTTCTTTCAACCTTGTAGATCTGAAAAGATTAGATAAAGTGGCAGAGGCAACCCTGTTGCATGGATGGTGCTGCTCACCATATCTTACTGGTTACACTCTGAGACAGAGAGAGAAGTCAGTGGTGAAAAAAAGGCGAGAGAGTAGTGTGTAAGATTCCAGAAGTCAGCAAAGGGGGGGTGTCTCCGGACAGCATCAAATCCCATGACAGCCTTAAGCCTGGAGTAAAGACTCCAGATTTCTCATGAGAACCTTCCATGTCATCCTATCATCACTAAGGCTTGGGTGTCTCCCATAAATGATTCATATACAATGTAATTGCTGGAAAAATATATCCACAAACACTTGTGTGGCAGTATACTATTATCAGTTCATTAAGGTGATTAAATAAATGACTTTCTATTATTTCTAAATTATTTTTAGGTTAAACAAATAATGTCACTAATTCAAAATCTGGACTGCTACAAAAAAAAAACCCTAAGTAAATAAAAAAACACATTATTCATTTTTCCAAACGATGGCACTATGTCTGTATCAGTGTCTTCATTTCACCTCTACCTACATATATGATCTCACTTTTTCAAGCAGGCAACTGAGGCAGAGCTACTGAAGGAAACCACTTGAAAACACAGGCCTTCAGCTTCCTCAAAGGTCACCGGGTCAACACTGCTGGTGAATCTCTCACTTTACTGCCACAGTCTGGACCTAGGTGAGGACTCGCTGTTAGCTTTCCACTGACCTTTACCGTTATGTTCATTAGGAGCACGACTTGAGACAAAAACACGTTTGCATCGCCTGACAAAAAGCGACAATGGGCTGACACGTTGCGCAAGCCAAGCGCGGTGGGAGCATGATTCACTGTGTGGGTATTCTTTGTTCTGAACTGACAGAAAGAATATGTCACTACTGTCGGGAGCTTTGTTGAGTTTATCCACTTCACTAACACAGACTTCTTTTTTTTTCCAAAGAGGAAATAAGACACGTCAAAATGTGAGAAAAGTGCTCCCTACACAGATGTTATGAAATCCAGAATGACAAAACCAAACAGCTGCATAAAACTTTGTGTGACGCAAGAGATAATAAAAAAGAGATAATGCTGCTAAATTAAAAAAAGGAAGGTATTAAAAAGACATCATTAAAAGAAAACAATTACATTTGCAAAAGCAGCACATAAATTAGCGTGGCAGATATATGGCCAAAAATAAACGGGGGGAGATAATCATATTTCCAGAGCTACATTCTTTTAGTGAGAGCTGTCAGCACATTTTGGGACTTTCTTTCCATTATTGCAGCATGGGGCCTTCGTTCTGACCACGGGGCACATCGCTTGCTGAGAGCCACACAAGGCAGGAAATGTTTTCCTTGGCAGATGCATGTCGAATTACTGCTGAAGCACATAACCGCCACAATTTCCGTGACACCGTCCCTAATAAGCAAGCTAATACGTCTGTTGAGTAATGGGCACGGGGGCCGGGGCAATACATGGTATTATGGGAAAAAATGTGGCGCGTATATGCAGAGTATGCAGTGAAAAAGCTTTTATTCGATTTAGGAATTTACAATGCAGAAGGTGATCCAAACACTCTGCTTCTGTTTTGCCTGCCTGGAGACTCAATATCATATTGTTTAGCAAAGAATGGCATTCATTCTTCGAAGTGGAATTCAACCTGAAATTCGGAGCATGTCGTCCTCAGCCAACAGACACACAGTTATTTTGCTAACAGTTTGTTTTGTCTATGTATCCATATTTAACCTGCACTAGACAACTAAATCACATTTCTAAAAGCATTAAGTCATGGATTTACTATTTCATGTATGCCTTTAGAGATATTCTAAGTTGATATTTGATTTAGCTACCTGATTAAAGACCACCCATCTGCGCTTTAACAACATTAACGACACTAAAGACCTTCAAAGTGGCTTTGCATCGATTGTGGTTGCTTGAATAACTTGAGTTGTTGGCCACCGGTGACCTCGGGGATGGCGATAAAAGGGGAGCTGCAGGGGCTGCAAAGGCTTTAAGGGACGGGCTGCTCTTTCTGTTTAGAGGCAATGGGGGCAAAGTGGGCCATGCATGGGCTCAGTCCTGTCTCATTTCTCAAGTCATAAATCCGGATTTGCCACAAGGCTGTCAGGTTGAACTCAGGGAACAGCTGGAGGCGAAATGAAAGGCGGCTACACCAGCAGACACGAGAGAGAGAGAAAAGCGGTTGTTCATTAAGAACGAAAAGAGACTGAGACTAAAAGATATGAGGGCGGTAAATCAGAGATAGCAGAAAAACAGAATATGACTTCTACCTAAAATGAAACTGACAGATATACGCACAGCTGAGACAGGTGTGAGAGAGTTGTGCCGTGCATCGAGGCCATACACGACACCGCTGCCCACCTTGGTGTTTATTTGTCCACCCCTCCTCCCCCCTCCAGGCGCTCAAAGGGTAAACGTCTATTCTGGTTTAGGGTTACAGCCAAGCTGCCTTGAACCCTCGGGCTTCAAGCGTGCATGCCATTCTTGGCAAGCCGACGCACTCCCTGGCACGCATCGCCTGCCCCTGACCCCCACAGGGAGGAAGGGGTCCCTCAGTGCTTTCCTTGACAAAAAAAACCCCTAACCCCACATCTTTGCTGATCCAGTCCACCCCTCGCCACGGCCCCGTGACACAGAGTGACACACCTGCCCCTCTCTCATGCCCTACTCCAACTATTATTACAGGCTTTATAAGGGTTTAAGTGATGATCAGAGGATGGCCATGACCTCAATAGGTCACCAAGCTAGGCCAGGCAAAGCTAACAGTTAAAGGAGCTGTCTGGCACGGTGACAAAACAAGGCGATGACAGAGTCTGTCTGAAAGCACCACTACCTCTGGCTGCTCTGTTTTCCACCTACCAGATCTACTATCAAACAGTCACTCAGGGGGCCAAACCATCTGTCGCCAAACATCTTTCAGCAAAATGCTGTAAAGGCATGTCACCTCACCTTCCCAACACCTGTTTGGGAATGACATTTTCCACACATTCATTATCAAAAGACCTGCAGTGTAGTTATGTAGCAACTACAAACTAAAGACGACTATTTTAGGGTTGAATTTGGGATGTTAGATTTCATATATGAAGATGAAATGTAGGGCTTCTTTTTTGAAATTTTGTGCTGGTGCTATAGAGCCATTTCGCCACTCTCACATGCAAGACCCATAAAAACTGAAAAGCTGCTACCACATCTCAGTGTGTTCGATATTTCATACTGTTTTTAAGCATCCCTATTACCTCTACAGTAACTTCGCATTTACCATACTGATAGGATGCACCATTCTATGCAAGCTCAGAATTTTTTAAATATAGCCAGGACTCAAGGTCTGAAGGTTTCTGGTTATCTGTCATATAACAGGAGGAAGAAGTACATCAGCGCATGAAATATTTCCTGTATCCACTTGGTGGCCCTATGATAATTGCCAAACACTGATATGTAGATGTGTTCGAAACCTAGCTGTCAAAGGCCACGAGGCACGGTACGCCCTAGACAGGTTGCCAGTCTGTCGCAGAGCAACTATTCATGCTCACATTCACTCCTAAGGGCATTTTTGGATCACCAGTTAACCTAAACCCATGCATGTATATGCAAACACATATCTAAAAATGTCACTGGCCCTAATTTAAGCAGATATACAGTTCAGTTTATAATGAGGCGTGTGTGGGGGGTGAATATTTATCTCTTTTTGCCCCACAACAAGTTATAAAGGTTTGGAAGTATTCAAAGAGGCTCACAGGTGGATTTTCACAATAGTCCAGTTACAAGAAATCATTATGTTATTGACAAACCAGCAATGAACACATTAATTTCTCACAGCTTTGAATGCATCAGAAAAGTTAACTGTATATTAATCAATATATTATTCAAACAGCACATTTAGCACAGTCAAAGAATTTGGATCCCACCTCAGCTGTCTTTTCTGTTGAGGCAAAATCTAATTCATGGAGATACCTTCACACTATTTGCTTTATATGCCATGACCAACATTTGTGTTGTGAATGTAAAAAAAATAAAATCATTCTTAATTTATAAATTTAATACTTTAACACTCTTGCTACGGATGTCAAATGCATCTTACATCATGAGCCACATACAGCTCACTTTGATCTTAAGTGGCAAGACCAGTAAAAAATCCCCTTTCTTTCAGTGTAAAGTAATTTAATCCCTGAGAAATGTCAATATGAGAAAAAGAAATGTAATTTCATCTCAGTTTTTTTTAAATGCTAAAGAAATGCTGCAGAAATCTTTGGACCTAAATCTTGAGAAATAAATGTGCACAATTAAAGAAAAGGTTCGTTGCCCAGACTGTTCTGTATTTATAAAGCAGAAGGTTTTTGTTGTTGCCGGAGTCTTTGCCAGGCTGATTAAGTTCCCAGGGCCTTATGTTTGACACCCCTAGTCTATAATATAAAAAGGTCAGCTGTGACATGCCAATTTCTGAGTGTCTAAGTAAGCCAAATGATTTGCATGGTTGTCAAGAGTCAAGAGTGCATTATATATATATAGCAAGTGAATATGGCTTAACCCTATAAAGCCTCAACTGTGAATTAATTGTCATAAAATTCTTTTTTTGGGGGGAGTGCTTATTAAACTTTCTGAAAAATTTAAAAAATCATCCATTTCTATATATATGTTTTAATTTGTGTCATATTTGCTACATCCAGCATTTTTTTTTTGCAGTTTAGCACTTGAAAACATATTATAGAGTTGTAGGTGTTTTTGGTAGAGAAAAGAACAAAAACACACACCAATGATGTAGAAGTCTTAACAACTCATAAAGACTCTGTATCAAATGTGATACACTATGCATTAAGGACCTGTGTGTCTGAAAGTGTAACATAGTGTTAAATCAAATTGGAGACTTCTTGACTTGTTTGATTTAAGGAGAATTATCCTCAACCCTGGTTCACATGAGAACATCATCCTGTCCTTCACAGGGAGAGTAGACTATAGAGATGGGCGTACCGTACATCTTGCCCTCATCTGAGAGGATGATCTTCCTACGGCCACAGGGTGGGTAGATGGCCAGGGCCTCCTGGAAGCTCTGCTCGATGTCAGGGCTCCACACACCCTCGGCATCATTCTCTAGGGGTTTGTCGAGTCCGTCCCCCAGCTCCTCACTCCCACCCCTGGGGGAGGGAGCTGGCACCCACTCTGCAGACGTGGTGGGATGACAGAGAGAGGACCACAGAGCGAGTGGTAGAGGGTCTGAGCTTTGTGGTAGATGGACGCAGAAGGAGATCGAGGTGTCCGCAGGGAGCAAATCTGTCTGTATGAACTGCACAGGTGTGATGGTGATGCTGCGTCTGGATGTGGCAGGACAGAAAAGAAAGGCAGAAGAGGAAAAAATTGAAGTGGTGCTCTGTCAGTTTACACAAAATGTTTTAATGATTTTACATTATTTCCAAAATAGTGTGTAGATAACAATAGTGTTTTTTGTTATCTAACAAAGACAACCACTTATATGTATGCTTTTAAACGTTTGATATCATTTGTGCTGTTACTAAAACAGCAACAATAGAACATTTCCTATGATAAGCATTTCACAAAACCAATGACTGTTATTAACTAATATTTTATAATTTTATCATTTATTCAGCTTATGGACATGGTCAGCAGCTACAACAGTTACCACACACAGCCTATAAAGACCATTATTCAAAATCTTAGTTCTTTCATTTAGAAGCAGGGGTTAAAATGGACTTCGGTGCGTTGGGGAACCTGAAGATCAGGTGTAGCAACGCAGAATTAACCAGAAAAGAGTCACATAATAATTTGTTTTGTGCATTCCAGTACAATGTTCTTTGTGTACAGAATGTGATCAGCTGATTTGTGTTGCTACTCCGACATCACTGCTCTTTGTGGATTTTGACAACTGATATAAGCAGATCTTAAGTGAGCTACATGGCAGATTTTGATCACCTAGACACTACAAAGTTAGTATAAAAGGTAGCCTGGACTAAAGTGCCTGGTAACCAGTGAATAACACAAAACTAGTAACAACTTATTTTTCATGACATTTCACAAAAACACAATATCCAATATCGGAATTAAAACTAATAAATCAGGACAATAAAATTGAAAGATTAGAAAAATATACTAGCTGAGCAGCTACACCTGTCCTTTCCGCTCCTTTTTTTTAAATTGCAATTTAACATTTCTATTCTGTTTCTGCTCGCTTTTTTTCAGTAGCTAACTGATGCTTAAGTACTAAATGTTGATTTACAACAGCATCATCAACAGATCACAGGGATGGAAAGCAAAAGGGATATGCTGAAGATGTAAGGGGCAGTGGGATGTTATTATTTTCTTAATACTGAGCAAATATCTTCATGTCTTCATAATATCTTCAGAAAAGTGAATCATGTTGAGGAAATGTCACTGAGACCCAGTTCTTAGCTACACTATTAGCAACCTAGCTGCTACATTAGGGCCATTATTAGATCACATCAGCTCAACATCTGCTAACCCTCACTGGGGGAAAAAAAGATTAATAATAAGTTTAATGCCAACATGAAAACAAATAATGGAGGGCATGTGGTGTTGGAGGAGAGAAGGGGTGTGACAAATGAGAAGACACATTAAAGTTGCGTCACATTGCAAGTTGCATCCTCAGACACACTTAGACCCACATGCCAAGTGGAATCACAGCAGGATATTAAAGCCATGGGGCTTTTTTAAGGATTGTCCATTTCTTCACCAGCGCTATAAGTGACTGTGTTATTACAATCCTCAGCTGAGGTCCTAATCAATGTGTTTATGCATTGTTTGGGGTGTAAGAGTGTTGTAACAACAAGATGAGTTATTAAAACGATTAACTTATGCATTCCTGTGACTGTTTGCGACAGGGGGGGAAAACAAACAAACTTCTAAACAGTGCTGAAATCCAGAGGGAAGGGTGACAGTGTAGGGATGTTTGAGTCGCAGCAGATTCACATCCTGTTTTCCCTACGCACCAATTTCTTTAGGATATGCACACACCCCTTATGTATATTTGGGAGGGGAGAATGAGACAGTTGTCGGCTCCACCGCTTCCTCTTGACAAATGGAGAAGGAGGAGAAAAACGGGAGAATGGCCACAATAGTAGGACGCGGTGAAGAAAGAGCTCCGCACTCATGAGTCAATACAAACAGGGGTTTGTGTCACTGACTTTTTTCCTGCCGGTGCTCTCCATGGCCATTTAGGGCAGCAACGAGAAAAGCGGTGACCATTACGTCAGTTATAATGCCAAACCTGAACGTGTGTTGAGAGAGTACAAGGATCTCAAACGAAAAAGGCTGTGATTGGCAAGAGATCTGGGGAGTGAGTAAGACTCTCCAGCCATCCCCCACCCCCTGCTCTCCCCACCCCTGCACTTCCTCTGAGCGCCCCGATGTTCCACAAAGCTTCCTGCAAGGCGTCCGGCCAGTCAGCCATTCGGCCCCATCAATTTCTGTTTCTTACACGCGCATGAACTTACATGTGTACAAACAACAACGGATATAGATTTTAAAAACAACTTGAACCCACACAAACTCCAACACATGAAAAGCAAAAAGTCAGAAAACACTAAAAGCAGTATGCCATATTTACTAAGGGAGCAGACTGTCCATACACAAACCTATGAGCAATTCTTCTCAGTGTTTGATTCTGACGTTTAAAATATAAAAAGGATTCAGGAAAACGGTTCTACTTAGGATTAGGGTTTGTGAAAGAAGCATTTGAAGCATCCATTGGATAAGGTTTCATGGTTTCATCTCTATAAACTGCGAGAATTCCCATTTTAAAGATTTAATCATTAATAAAATGCATAACGCACTCGCCGTGTGTCCAGGTGATGATTCATTTGTAAACAGGAGTCAAACCTTTGAACTCTGGATAACCCTCAAGGAAAAAAATCTGACCTGACCCTGCACTCAAAGTGTGACATTGTTCATAATCAACTAGTTAACAGATCTTCTCTTGTGACGCTGTGAAGGTCAAAGTGGCACTGCTTTTATAACGTATGCTTAAAAAAATACTCGGCCTAGCCAAGCATCTGTGTGACATGTGCGGTGTAACGGAGTGGCGTTAGTTTATCCACAGATTTTAACAGACCTATTGCCATTAAGAAGAAAACTAGGAAACCAAGTCACATAACATGGCTCGCTTAAACGATCCCTCCAGCCTTATCCAACCTAAGTTTTCTGAATTAAATCCCTCACATAACTCAAACTAGTTAAAAAGCTTATGTAAGGCGTAATCTCGATCACAAGCTCACCAGCTAGTCAAGAGCTAATGGATTGCGATAAAACTAAACTTTCTGAAACTGACAGATATAATCCCAGTGTGACATTTCTATTGTTTATGGACGTGATTTTAAACTAAACACAACTCCAGTTCAGGGTCACTGCATGTCAAAGTGAGAACTGTGGGGGCCATAAACCATTAGTGTGGAGCTCTGTGCCTCTCTCGAAGCGTCCAGGAGGTTAATTAACCTAAGCCATGCCTTAAAACAGCCCTCTCCCCTCCCTCACGCCTCCAGACCAGCCCCAGCGTGGCCCCTCTACACTGGATCTGCTCAACAGGATAATCCCCCAGCTGGTGCTGTGGTCAAGGGGCCACGTAACCCCTTGGCTGCCCCGACTCCTTTACACAACTGTACACACTGACCAACTAAGCAAACCCGGTCATGGTTAAAACTTGTGAGACAGAGGGGGGAAAAAAACACACTTGGGACACACAAAAACACAAATATGCCCACACATACACAAGTTAAAACGCTAACAAAGACTTTATCAGAGCAGGGTCTTATGCAAGGCTGAGGCACACATACAGAGAAACAATGAAACCTTCCCTCTGACACACATACTGACACATATTGTAAAACATGAGCAACAAGCAGCTGCAGGTAGATGAGCCTCAGGTTGTTCTGGACCAGAGCCAGCCAGGTGGGCAAGCAGGGCAGCTTTTTATAAACAACGTCAATCAGCTGTGCAGTTCAACACCAACAACACTAGTTATTGGAAACACTGTACTGACAGACACTGCTAATGACTTTGGTAATGTCCTGATTATTTTAATTGCACCCCGAGCTTCATCTTAGTGGTTTTAGCGTAAAACCTCATGTTCTTCAGAAGGAAACAATTTTCACCTATTAGCAGTGTTACTGTGAGCATGAGGCCACACAGGGACACAGAGACTGAGACAGATACTGTGTAGATATCCAGAAGTCACAGTACTTGCTACACTCACAGAGTGTGTCTGTGTGCGAGTGTGTGCGTTGTGCTGAAGTGGTCGCAATCTCCACTAATCGGGCCGGGAATGTAAAGACAGGCAGGAAACATTCTGGCAAAAAGGCAGTAGTATGGGATCAGGCTACGTGATAGAAATAAAGTGGCAGTGAGAGCCTCTGGCTGCAAACAGGTTTGTTTTGTTAGGTTTTTGCTGAGAGCACGTGTTCTCTGGCACCGAGTCCCACTGGGCTGCCCCAGCGGGAGTCTCCGAGCTCCACACACTAAACAAACACAGTGGCTTTTGCATATTTTGCATATTAGACATAAAAGGACGACTTTGATACGGCAATGTCAACCCCTCACAGTATATTTACACATCACAAGCAGCAGCCAAAGGTTGTTTTCACAATCATCCTGTCGATATATTGATCAGTTGACTGATTAGCACTTAAAGTGCAAATGATCATCTGACAGCTCTGCCTGGTTGCACAGTCCACAACCCCTCTATGATCATTTGGTCTCACCGCTTGCAGCCAGATGTAGCGTTCACCTGCAGCAGGCTGCTCTAAATTCCCAGCATCAATCAAGAGTCTTATAGACTTGTGGCGACAGGAAGCTGTGCAAATAAAATCAGTCATGGTGGGTTTAAACTAAGTAAAACAGGGGGCTCCAAATGCTGGGCTGATAAGCAGGTAATGACAACAAACTATTAACACTAATAACATGCGGTATGTTAAGCTGCCAAAAGTTAGTGGAGTGGTTGTTCTCAACAGTCCAAGGTGTAAATGCTTCCGTAACTGCTTGAACATGATGAGGGCTGGTAAAGACTTTTGCTTCTTTTGTTAATTTGCTATTATAATACAGAATCCCACAGTTAAGACTTAACTTCTGCCCTTTCTACATGCC